AAAGTACATCTATTTTTTTCTGCTTGGTTGGGTGGCCTGTAGTATATACCTATGGTAATTTCATCCTTTTTTTCCCTCTTTATATTGACACATTTGCATTCTAGGAGGTTTTCGTCTTTGTTTCCTGCATTTCCATAGCAATGTAGTGGTCCTTTACATACAGTGCAACTCCACCTCTTCTTTTATGGGGTCTGGGGTTTTTGAACAGTTTGTATCCTTCTATTATTATGTTCCAGTCATGGGTTTCATTCCACCAAGTTTCTGTAATTCCAACTATATTATATATCTACCTTCATGTATTAATAGGTCAAGTTCACCCAGTTTGTTCCCCAAACTTTGTGCATTTGTATATAGGCACTTGAGATCTTTATGTCTGACTCCTATTTAGTATATGAGTTTGTCTTCTTTCTCATCCCTCCTTACCTCATTATTTGACTTGTTTTCTAGGGGTTTTTGCTTGGAATTAGGTCTTAGAGATCCTGAAGATTGGTCACTCTCCCCCCTCAATTTTAGTTTAAAGCCGTCCTGATAAATTGAGCCAGTTTTTCTGAAAACATTCTTCCCAGTCTTAGTGAAGTGCAGCCCATCCCTTGCCAAAAACCCATCACAGAGGTAGTGCAGCTCATGGTCCAGGAATCCAAAGTTTTTTTGGTGATACAAACCCTTTAACCAGTGGTTCTAGAATCCTTTGTTCTCTTACCGGATGTTGACCTTTCATTGGCAGTACAGATGAAAAAAAATACTTGTGCATCTAACTCCTTAACTTTCTTGCCTAGCTGCTCATAATCACTCAATATTGTTTTCAAGTTGTTTTTTGTGTCATTCATCCCTTCATGTAGTAGTAGAAAAAGGGTAACAATCTGTGGGGTTTTTTTATTTTGGTTAGGTTCTCAGCCACATTTTTGATTTTTGTTCCAGGGAGACAACATACCTCTCTGGATTGACTGTCTGGTCTATAGATGGCTGATTCTGTTCCCTTGAGAATTGAATCTCCTATCACCAACATTCGCCTTTTTTTTTCTAGGGAGGTTTCAGCAGGGATGAAATTTACTTACCTTCCCTACCGGTTCACCAATGTGCATGCACTGTGCCCACGTCAGGCGGACAAATGTCAGGCGAACAAACACCAATCTCTTCAAGCCCCCTTGGGAGTGGGAGACCAGGAGACCGGGTATATCTGTCCACTAAGTATCTTAGACTAAGATTATCTACCAAGAAACTAGGTCCAACAAGTCGGGAAGATGGCTGGCATATAGATTAAAAAAAGAACAGGAAAAAAATCAAATTCTTATACTAGAAGACATTAATGGAGACATCTTGACAAAAGAAGTGGATAAGTTAGAAAGAGCGAGAGAATTTTACGAAGCCTTATATAAAGAGGAAGCGATCGACCCAGACAAAATTGTACAATACCTGATGGAAGCTAACTTGCCACAGATAATGGAAGAAGAGAGAGAAATGTTAAATAACAAAATCACAATGGAAGAACTCAAACTGGCTCTTGCCAAAATTAAGAAGAACAAAACACCAGGTCCAGACGGTCTCCCGGGGAAAATCTATGCAAAATTCGAGGAAGAATTACAATCAGAATTGTTAGATATATTTAATGAGGTACTAGTTGGTACAAGAATCCCAGACTCCTGGAAAGAAACTTATATTACCCTCATATTGAAAGAAGGTGCTGATCCAAAATAGATAGCAAAGTATAGGCCGATTTCTTTGTTAAATTCAGATTACAAATTATTTACCAGTATAATTGCGGAGAGACTAAAAAAAATCCTAAATGGCTGGATTCATAGTGATCAGAAAGGATTCCTCCCAGGGAGGCAAATGAGGGATAACGTGAGGACGGTAATAAATGTTATAGAATACTATGAACAACACCCGGAAAAACAGCTGGCGTTAGTGTTTTTGGACGCCCAAAAGGTGTTCGACAATTTAAATTGGAAATTCATGATTAACCAAATTGATTTGATGGGATTCGGGACAAATTTTAGAAAGATGATCGAAAATATATATTATAAACAGAGAGCGAGCATATTAATAAATGGGGATAAGACACGGACATTTTGGATACAAAAGGGAGTTAGACAGGGATGCCCCCTGTCCCCTCTACTCTTTATAATGGCGCTGGAAATCCTACTTAGAAAGATTAGAGACAACAAAGAAATCAAAGGATTACAAATTAAGAAAGAAATTTTTAAAATACAAGCCTTCGCCGATGACGTGGCCTTAATAATGGAAGATCCCTTGAAATCTGGTCCCAAAGTACTCCAGGAAATATAACAGTATGGAGAAGTCGCTGGCTTTAAGCTTAACAAAACCAAAACTAAAATTTTAGCAAGAAATATGACAGAGACAAATAAGAAGCGGCTAGAAAAGTCCCTTGAACTTCAAATAGCAAAGAAAATAAAATATCTGGGAATTTGGATCACTGTAAGGTATTCCTCCTTAAAAGAGGACAATTATAGTCCATTACTACAAAAAATAAAGCAGGACATAGATAGATGGAAGAAACTAAAACTGTCCTTCACAGGTAAGATTTCAGCAATTAAAATGAATATTCTCCCCAAAATTATATTTCTATTTCAAACCATTCCAGTGAATATTGATAAAAAATATTTTCTAGATTTGGAAAGGAAGGTGCGAGACTTTTTGTGGGAAGGGAAGAAGGCAAGAATTGCATATAAAACACTGCAAGGGAAAAGAAGCATGGGCGGCTTCGGATTACCCGATTGGCAAGTTTACCAGAAAGCGGCCAAATTAGTATGGATCAAAGAATGGGTCTCATTACAAAACAAGAGAATCCTGACGCTAGAAGGCCACGATCTACAGGCAGGCTGGCATGCTTATTTATGGGGCCCAAAGAACAAAAAGAATTCATATTTCCATAGACACAAATTAAGGGAGACCCTGATCCAAACATGGGAAGAAATTAGACAAAGATTTTATACGAAAGTACCGATTTGGCTCTCAATTATGGAGGCGTTGATTACCACTAATAAAAGGGATATAGTGAAATTTGGCACGTACAAAGATATATTAGATGAAAATGGTATTCTTAGATCACGAGAAACACTAAGTAATCAAGGCTTTAATTTGGACTGGTGGAGCTACATGCAGATAAGCTCTAGATATCAAAAAGATAGGGATCAATTTGGTATAGAGACGAAGTACAACAATTTAGACAAAATTATGCTGGGGATTGAAAAGAAAATGCTAGCCAGATTTTATAATCTCTTATTAGGCGAGGACAGAGCAGAAGGGATAGCCAGGAATTAACTAAGCATTTGGGAAAAAAATATTGGCCACAGACTAAATTTCAGTGACTGGGAGGAGGCTTGGAATAGAAACTATAATCTTACTAAATCAGTAGCTTACAGGGAGAACCACTACAAAATATTTCACAGATGGTATCTAGCTCCAGCTAGATTAGCAAAAATATTCCCCAGCGCCTCAGGAACTTGTTGGAAGTGTGGAAAGGAGGTCGGCACCTTCTTTCACATGTGGTGGTCCTGCTCGGAGACAAAAAAGTTCTGGACAAAAATACGAACTTGGCTGCGAGAAATAGTGGAAGAAGATATAAAATTATCTCTGGAAATTTTTCTACTAGGAATGACGGGAGATGGACTTTCTAAGGACAAGATACAATTAATTATACATATTATAACAGCGGCCAGATTAACACTCGCAAAATACTAGAAAGATAAACAAATCCCTCCAGAGATGACAATAACAAATAAAATCCTAGAATGTGCAGAAATGGCAAAATTAACTAGTGTTCTTAAAGACGATGAGAATTCAAAATTTAAGGCAGTACAGGAAAGGTGGTACAAATGGTGGAACAATAGAACAAGACTATAAGGATATGTCTATTTCTAATAATGATAGGTTTGAAGATACTTGATGTGTATATAATGTATATATGTAATCGCACGATACCTCAGATGTTACCTGAGATTTGATATTTTCTTTTTAAATTTTTTTTTTCAAAAAATCAATAAAGTATTTAAAAAAAAGAAAAGAAAAAAAAAGAAACTAGGTCCAAAATTCCTAGGACTGTTCCCCATAGTGAAAGTAATAAATCCAGTAACTGTACAGCTTAATCTTCCCTGCTTGATAGGGAAGGTGAATCTGGTTTTTCATAGCAACTTTTTGAAACTAGCAGCTAGCTCGCAGATAAGACCAAGAGATCAACCAGCTCCTAGGGCAATTGTAGTACAAGGGGAAACCCATTATGAAGTAAAAAAAATATTGGACTTTAGATTGCACAGAGGTCGTTTACAATATTTAATCCATTGGAACAGGTACCCTTTGTCTGAGGCCACTTGGTAAAAATCTGGGATGTGAAAGTGGATAGATTGGTGAAGCAGTTTCATGAAAATTTCCCTGATAATCCAAAGCTCTTGGGGGGGTGGGGAGAGGTGGTTAGAGAGTGTTTAGACCCTTGTCCCCTAACCCCCTGTCACTTGTCTCATTTCAGGATGTTCTCATCGCTTGAGGGGAGGCAGCCTGTCAGACCTGGATCCATCTTTGGACAGACTTTACAGGGCTGCCACAGTGGGGGATGGGCGAGCTGTGGGAATGGGAGAGTAGCAAAGGGTGTATAGTCATAATAATATTCTTTCACATGAGATCAAGGATGGGTTGCTGGCACCTGGAGGGGAGTGACCAAAGTTTGGCGGCAGCTGTGACAGGAGATTGATTGGGCTATGTGATGTGAATGTCACTGGACAGGGCAGGATGTGAGTTTTAGTGTGGGTGGGGGAAAACATAGGATTTCAGATTCGGGTTTTCCCTAGATGTGCCAATATGACTTCTCTAATAAAATCTTACTTTGATGGACTTTGTCTCGGAGTTCTGAATTACACTGAGGAGTTAGTTGGAACACTGACACATACATTTGTATTAAAAACACACAATATTATTTTGACATGCTTATACTATAACAATAATTTCACCCAGTACAAAGTTGATAATCCCAATTTATATTCACTTACTTGTTCTGTCTTTCCATACTTGTGACTCTGAGATTTTCCCAGCGTGAATTTAGAAGATTCATTTGTTCTTGTATTTCATTTTCTTCATCTTCTGAAAGCTTTCCAAATGTTCCCAAAAGTTGGCTGCCTACTTGCAAAATATCACCAACACGTCCTTGGTGAGCAGTTAATTCCATCATAAAACCCTTGGAAAATCATTATAACAATGATTACCAACAGAAAACAAAATACTCATATGGATATTTTACAGATTACATTAAATTTCCAATTTTTATCAAATAAACCAGTTTTTAGAAATTAACAATGTGATTCAAGTGTTTTGTAAAAAGGAAACCAATGAAATAAAAATATCATTCAAATGTTACATTTTTAGTGTCATACTGTAACCATAGAAAAACAATTAGTATATGTTGACATTTTTGTGTTAATTATTGAAATAGACATTGTTCATTTATACCTCATGAGTGTGAAACTGTTCTTTAACTTCCTCTACGTCAGTGGAGATCTCTCCTCGTGCTTGCAATGAATCTTCAGCAGACAGAAGCCATGAGAGGACTTCTTCTAATTCAGTTTGGTAGCTTTCTAGGTCTGTTTCTGAACTCATGGGTGAAGTTGCAAATAACTTCTGTTCTTGACTTTCAAAATGCTATAAATAAATAATGTATGTAAGGAAAAATTCACTAGTATACTTTCTTCTGGATTAATAAATGAAATGTCATGTTAATTTAATAATTAATACATCATATGGCATCAGTTTCATCTAAAATTAGATCTGATATAAGATTTTTATTATTTTGTACAAAGGTGTTGGAATTGGCATTGGGTACAAAGCCATCTCATAAATATTAACATAAAAGAGTTATCAAACATTCTTCATGCACAGCTTTAGTTATAGGTATGTTTGGTTAAAAACAGGAACATTAATTGTGGTGAGCTCAGTTTGTATATTCAGTTACACTATAACTGCATGCAAAGCTACATTAATGCATATAAACATTGTAAATATTTATAAAAGTACAGTTGTAAGTTAAAATAATTCCTCTATTTTTTACATTTTGGTATAACTTATAACATTATCTTTGCCAAGTATTAAATTAGAGATTAAATAAACTAGGAATTTGAAACAATGACATTTCTACATTATTATTGTTATGCCAGAGTCATGTTTGTCTTCTAGCAGTATTTTTTTTTTCTCTTGTGCTGAATATATCTGTCTCTGCTTCAATGTATCCCTAATGATTGGCAGATATAAAACTAACAATTCATGGCAGGGACACTTCTCTGCTTTATATTAGGAATGTGGAGCTTCATCACTATTTTTGTTTTTGTTTTATTTACATCACAATTTTTTACACAAGACAAAACATACTATATTGAACATTTTTATGAGAGAGAGAGAGAGAGAAATTTAGTAAGGAAGGTTGACTTTATTTTATGCATATTTTATTTTTAAATAATTAGGGGAATCCTACATTTACCTCATGAAGGGAAAAGCCTATGACATACTAGGCCAAACATTTTCCTTGCAAAAAGAAAAAAAAGTTCTTTTCCTCCTTCCCATTCAAAAGAGTTTTAGTTACAGATGTCCAAACCAGAAACACATTTCTTTTAACAACATCTTATATTTAGGAGATATGAATTGATTGGCACAGAAATTAGTTTGGGGGAAAAAATTTTTTAATAACATTGGTGTATAGAGAATCAAGAAATGATATCTGTGAAGAAGTAAACATATTTAGGATTGTGTTATGGTTTGCATTTGGAATGCATATTTTGACATGTTTTGTTTTTAATTCTCAACAGAACTGATGTAAAGCTTAAGAGCCTAGTGAACCCAACCATTGAGACATTCTTGTTTGAAAGTGCAGATGGCAGAGTGAATGGACATCTGATGGAGAACATAAGGACACACTGTATTCCCAGTAGCATAATGGGGAGCCAGATGTCTACTTTTTAAAAAGTAGGATGAATTGGCAAAAATAAATTAATGGCAATTAATGTATTTGGCTAATTTCTGCATGCACATATATATTTATACTGTCTGTCTGTCTGTCTGTCGGTCTGTCTGTCGGTCTGTCTATCTTACAAATTTTTCTTTTTCAATTTCAGGTAGCAAAAATGTACACGTTCCAGGTAAATTTGCAACTTCCATAAAGAAGTTTGTATGGTAACTTTAAACCGATCTGGAGTCTTCTTAATTTCCCTTATTGTAGGTTCCACATAATAGTTGTGAACTAATATGGGTCTAGAGAGATATATTTAGTAGTAGCCCTGTCTCTTTTAAAATAATTTCTTCTGTGTATGCAGACTTTTTAAATATAATTTTGCTTTTAAATGGAATAAAATATACTGCTAGTAATGGCTTATAATCCATTGTTCAAGAATAAAAAAATGTTACTTGAATCATTGGCCTTATAGATAAGTGGGCATGGCAGATCATCAAAAAGTTTTGATATACTTTGAAGTCCAATGTGTAAAGAAATTATACTAACATTAATTCATTGAAGTGCAATTTGTCTTATTATTTCTTTTACAAAGCACAATATATACAGAATATAGAATAAAACAACCGATTTTGTTCCTCCTTCCTTTATACTTTCCTTCCCTAGTAAAGAATGATCATAGATTCATCAATATACAGGATAGTAATTATAAACTTTATATATAGAGTAAATATATGCTATATATAGTATATAGTATAAGAGTACATTTTTTAAAGATAAATTTCAATTATTTTTAAATTATTTATTATTTATTTATTTAATTAAATTTTTATACCGCCCTTCTCCTGCTAGACTCAGGGCGGTGAACAGCCAAGAATAAAAAACATCCAATACAAAATTTAAAATTATTTAAAAAATTAAACAAATTTTGGCCCAAATTTAAAACATCCCAACTAAAATCCATTACAATTAAAATATCTAAGGGGGGGGGTTTACGCCAGCCCAGCTTGGTGAAATAGAAAAGTTTTGAGGGCATGGCGAAAAGCACAGAGATCTAGTATCCTATGTATCTCCGGGGGCAGGTCGTTCCAGAAGGCAGGTGCTGCCACAGACAAGGCCCTCCCCCTGGGGGTCGCCAGCCAACATTGCCTGGCTGACGACATCCTGAGGAGTCCCTCTCCGTGGGAGCGAACTGGCCAGTGGGAGGCTATCGGTAGCAGAAGGCGGTCCCGTAAGTACCCAGGCCCTGTGCCATGGAGCGCTTTAAAAGTGGTAACCAACACCTTGAAGCGCACCCGGAAGACCACCGGGAGCCAATGCAGCTCGCGCAGGAGGGGTGTCACATGGGAGCGGCCCATCGCTCCGATAATCCCCCGCGCAGCCATATTTTGCACCAGTTGGAGCCTCCGGGTGCTCCTCAAGGGGAGCCCCATGTAGAGAGCATTGCAGTAGTCCAGGCAGGAAGTGACGAGAGCCTGAGTGACTGTGTGTAAGGAGTCCCGATCCAGAAAAGGACGCAACTGGCGAATCAGGTGAACCTGACAAAAGGTTCGTCATATGCCGTCATATGCTCTTCTAAAGACAGCCGTGCATCCAGGAGGACGCCCAAGTTGCAAGCCCTCTCCGAGGGGGCCAGTAACTCGCCCCCAATAGCCAGCGATGGCACCATCTGGCTATATCGGGACGCCGGAAGCCACAGGCACTCGGTCTTGGAAGGGTTGAGTCGAAGCCTGTTTTTCCCCATCCAGACCCGCATGGCCTCCAGGCACCGGGACATCACTTCAAGGGCATCGTTAGGATGGCCTGGGGTGGAGATGTACAAAGTAATTAAACATATACTTTCCTAATTAGCTTTCATTCCCAAAATCAAGTTTCTTACTTGCATTATTTTACCCTGTAGAATAAAGTATACTCTTTTAATTCTTCTAAAGTTATTTCTACAACACTGAGTACTTTGATACCCCTTAAAATTATCCAGAGACATTTGTTATTGTATACTAATAGTTTTGGATAAAAGACTATACATAATGAATAATAATTAGTCTCAGAGCTGAAAATGACCCTATTTGGTCAGGAGGGACTCAAGAAACTTGTTTTCTATATTAATTTAGGGGAATGAATCTTAATAATTAGAATTTTAAGAAGAAGCAAGATAGTTTTAAACTACTAGCAGGACATAATTCTTTTTTTTTTTTTAAGTATACTTAGTTCTAACACACTCCTTCTCCAATTTCCCTACAAATCCTTTGTCAAATACTGTGGTAAAATATCCTTCTGGGAGCACTTTTCTGTGAATTAAATACATGGACACAAACCTATTATCAATTTCTTTGCATTGCACACATTTTCTTCTATTCTTTCAGCATTTCCCCCCATACCTCCTCAGTTACAGATAAGCCTATATTTACAACCATTTGTTCAGCGACTATTCCAACTTAGAATAGTGCTGGAAAAAGTGATATACCACCAGTCCCCGAAGTTATGGCCATTATAGTGCTTCCCCAGTCATGTGATCAAAATAATTAGCTATTTAAGTTATTTACTGGGCTGGTATGCCACCACTTCCTAGAACCTTTGGGAAGCTAACTGCATGAACATAAACAATATCCAAGAACTCAAAATACACATTTTAAAAATTAGAAAAATCAGGAAATATAAGAACCAAACATAGAAATGCCACGCACCTACAAATCCACCTTCAATTATAACACAGCTTCCTCCTATGACAGATAGAAACGTTCACCATTTTCTTGAACTCAAAGAAGGAAAAAGCTGTGCAAATCTTTACAAAGAGAGAGGTTAAAAGAATGGGATGGCTATTGAAAATGTACACTTCTAGACTTCTGGCTGATGGTGTGGCAAGATCAGACATGAGGAACAGGTCTCCATGCTCCTGCGCCGAGTTCTCCCTGTTGGAGGGCTCCGAAAGGAGCTAAAGCCACCCAGTGAAGAAAAGAGGGTCACCCTGCAGGTCACAGAGAGCAGCAACTCTCCTGCTTGACCCAGGGCTTCTTCCCTCTCATCCATGACGAGAAGAGGCAGCCATGAAGCTGGGACAGCCGAGGCAACAAAGAAATGTGCAGGAGCATTGTAGAAGAACAGTGACGATCTGGGTGAGAAGATTCTTCTTTTTACTTAGATCCTAACTTTAAAAGAAAGAAAAAAAATCCAGGAAAAGAGACTCTTAGAACTATTTCTTAAAGTGGTGAACAACCACAGAGAGAAAAATCCTAGACCTGAAAGAAAGAAACTAAGGGGAGAAAAGTTAAAGACCTTTTAAAAAATAGAAAATTGGATTTTTAAACTGGGTAGGCATTGTTTTGGAAAGGCATTATAAAATGCTGGAACTATCTACTTGAATAGCCGACTTTGCTTCCATAAATTGAACTAAAATTGGATTAATTAATTTATCAGACTTAAAACAATGCTGAAGCCTAAGTTGAGGGTGCCATTTACTGGTGAATGGAAAATATACCATACACCTACAAGCCAGGGAAGATTTATGATAAAAGAAATAAACAACATTCATCTGGAGGACTGTGGTGATATTTACTGTTCTATAACTATCTACTTTATGATTACTGGAGACTCTATTGTGAGAATAAGGAAGATTCTCAAGTAAAGTAAAGTGACTTTTGATTTGTGGAAGCTGCCTGGACTACTTAAATGGAACTAATTAATAATCCTGAGATGTAAAGAACTA